AGAGAGAGAGAGAGAGAGAGAGAGAGAGAGAGAGAGAGAGTACGACGACGTCGAAGACAGACTAAATTAATGTCACTCAAGTGCATCGTAGTTTTCTCCCAATCCTCCGAAGGCGACATGCCTCCATACTGCGTTAGTCGCTGATGTAGAAACGGAATGCGACGGTTCGCCACTGGTCACAAGGTCAAAAGGTCAAAAGAGAAGTAAAAAGAGCCAACTGAAAACGACGTTGCACACAGTTCAACTATTCATTACCACCTCCCTTTTTCTCTCCAACCGTCCCCACCCCCGCCCCCTTTTTCCAACCAATCCCACTCATGTTCGGTTTACGTCGCCACTGGTCAACAACAGATAAACAAACAAACAAACAAACGAAAAGGGGGACGCGATGTTGTAAACATCTCCACCTCCACTCCCCTTTCGTCCTTTCTCCACTTACCCGGAACGAGACTTCTGGGTCACACAAGACACAAACAAAGGTTTGTGGAATGAGTAATGAACCATTTCCCGGCCACCAGCTACCCTCTGTACCGAGTAACGGCGCCCGGTTTGTTTATTTATTAACAGCAGCGGTGTCAGGAAGGGCACATCCTCGATCCTCGAACGACGGATTATTCTTTTGTTCTCAATCCTTTTATCTAAAATCCTCTGAAAGACGTACATCTAATGTTCGATACTCTTGTGATTCAATACCTGTAGTCACTTAGTAACTCTACATTTTTGCCCTACAAATAAATTATATGTGAAGTGTGCTGACAAAATGAGTTACTTCCCGCAATCCAAAAGTGGAGATAGCCAAAAATCGACACTAGGGTCAAGTTAAAAGATTTTTTATCGAGGCCATATTTGGAGTTTAACATGCCTTTGAAAAAAAATAAATAATTTCATACTTTTGTAAACTGCAAAAACTTCACCTGTAAGCATGATTATCTATTTTCATAGGGCTTGAATCCGAGAAGTTACTCATTTTGACAGTACGCTTCACATATTCACATTTTCCGCATTTACTTACACGGATGTCTAGGTGCAGTTTCTTAAAGACATTGAGGTATCGCATTTCGATCTCTCTGACACTGCGAACTGACTATCGG